GGCCGAGGCCTTCCCCCTCGAGTTCAAGAGGGAGCTGGCGGGAGAGCGGCCCGAGCTGGCGCTCAGCCCCGAGGGCCCGGACGAGGGCGCCGCTGCCCGGGCCGACCTGGAGTACGGCCTGGTGGCCGAGGCCGAGGCGGCGGCGAAGAAGGACGAGGGGCCCTATAGGATGGAGCACTTCCGCTGGGGCAGCCCGCCCAAGGACAAGCGCTACGGCGGCTTCATGACCTCCGAGAAGAGCCAGACGCCCCTGGTGACGCTGTTCAAAAACGCCATCATCAAGAACGCCCACAAGAAGGGCCAGTGAGGGCACCGAGGGGCAAGGGGCTTCCCTCCTCGGAAGTCGACCCTAAAGCTCCTCCTTGCCTGCCCACCTGCCACCTCACAGCCTGGGTGTGCTGCTCGCTCAGGCGGTGGGAGCAGCGGATGTTCAGTCGGTTAAAGTTCTGTCTGTAGTTAGGAAATAAAACCTTTCAAGTTTCACGTCTGCCTCTGACTTTGAATGTCGAATGGGTGAATAAACTAAAAATACATATCCATCAAATAAAAAGCAGCATATAGTGGAGGAGAGACATACTGGTTTCCATGTAATCAAGTGGCAGTGTATTTCATAGGATGGAGTGGGACTGGGAAAGAAATGTATCTCCCTACCCCCTCAATAAATGGGTCTTTAAGGGGCCACATCGTTTAGGTGATGGCTCAGGATGGCTACATTTCCCACCCTCCGTTGGCTAGGAAAAGACTGCCCAGCTAGAAGGTACATCAAAAGGCAGGATTCCTACGAGAGTGACTGGCTCTGTCCAACCCCAAGAGCCAGCCTGACCCTGATGAAGCCCAACCACAACTGAAAGGCCTCTCTGGGCCATAAGCTGCATAGCTGTGGTAATGTCCCCCTGGATCTAGTTATGCGTGTGACCTTAGGCAAGTCTCTGAACTTCTCTAAGATGTGGTCATCTTCTCCCTTCCTGGTGTGAGGGCTATTGTGTGGATTAATGAAAAACTGAATGTGTTCTTTTTATCACCGAGAAGCTAAGCGTGAGAGCCAAGGGTTGGTATCAGTTCAAATTTGCATTCCCGGATACATTCTCAAACACATGGTCTCACCCACATAGACACAGCCATGGAGACACATCTGTATGAATACAACACAATACATACAGATTCTTTTCTTCTAATCCTGCAAACTCAAGCCTTGAGGTCTCTATCTTTTCCCCCAGCAATGTCTGCACTCTCTCCACCCCATGCTGCCCAGCCTCAGCTCTTCTCTTCATTCTCAGTGCCCTCGGCACAGGCCTCCGCTAACCTAAGGTCTTCCTAACCAACTGGTCTCCTATCTCCAGCCGTTCTTCTCCCCAACCCATCAGATACAAATCATCATAGTAATGTATACAAAATTTTGCTTTCCCCATATTCCTTGGCTCAGGAGCCTAAAAAGTCGCCCCCATCCAGTTATCTAACAATTCCTAACTACAGAGCATGGTGTGCAGGGCCCCTGTCAATGAGTTCACCTTCCTTACCAAACCGCATTTCCCATGTTCCTACCTACTGAGCTTCTCACTCTTCTCCTCCCACCCTTCTTCACCCTCTGCCTGGAACTCCCCCAACAGTCCCCCGCCATTTTGAATGTTACCCTTTTTTAACATGAGCCCAGGATCAAATCCACTTCCACGAGGAAAGCTGTGATTTTTTCCAGCCATGTCTGCTCATTTTCAGTGTTTCTGCAGTCAGCCCCTCTGCAATGGAGGGCATGCAGTCTGACTCAGATGGCAACGTTTTTTTTCCTTTTTTTCTTTTTCTTTTTTTTTAGATGGCGACTTCCTTGCTGCTTGTATGTTTTATGTTCTCTCATTGAAACCCTAAGCTCCACAAGCGCAGAGGCTAGGGGCTGGGTTTCTTTTTTATGTCTTCATGATGTTTTCACAAGGCTGGGACCACAGGTTTGCAGCCACACACATTTTCAATTCACGAGACCTACGAACACTTATATACAGAGATGCACACATACATGTCAACTGCATCAGATATACCAGTTGGGCGGTATAGATCAAAGCTGGCTGGGAAACGTGTGTATGGTACTTACACATATATCTCCATATTTTGATGCTCTAAGAGTTCATACTGAAAGAAAACTGGAATGCACCCTGGGAAGTCCTGATGTAAGGGGAATCAGTAACCCAGATTCCTAAGATAAAGTCTCCCAATATGAGTTATATGAAATGGGGCTAGGTTCTAGTCACTATAATGAAGAAATGATCCAGGCCTTCCCATTGAGGATGCCCCCACACTGGGAATCCTGGGCCTTGTGTTTGCATCTCAATAGCATCCTTTTCCCTAACCTCCTTCCTTTTGAGGCAAGTGAAGTAATGGCAGGTGGGGGTAGATGTTGATATTTTCAGATCTGTTTGTATCTCAAGAAAACCATTTACTTTAAAGAAATCAAATAGACAACCATCTGGTGACAACATTAACATTTATTTGAAAAGGGCATCATAAAGGCTCATTGGGAAATCACGACTAATAGTCCTAAAGAATGATCTTGCTAAGAGTCCTTCCTCCTACGCAACACCCCCCTTCCCCTTCCTTAAAACTAATCTGACTCAATGAATTTAAAATACGGAAAACTGCCACAGGCACTGATTCTGCACTCCCGTATGAATACATCAGCTATTATATACAGATATTGTCAAGTACGAGCTACATTACACACACATGCACGCGCACGGGCACACATACTCTCAGCCAGGTTGCGAAGGTCTAAATGGACACGGACATTATTATGTATGGGCTGCAGCATTTGTGGATTTATAGTTCTGCACTCCACAGGCCAGAATCAACAGTCATGGAGGCAGAGCTCAAGAGGGGAAGACGATGGGGGCCCCAAGGTCCCCTAAAGGAGAAAATCCTGGTCAACCTGGCTGATGCTAAAAGAGAGCACAGAAAACTGCCTTCTGATCCCAGCTGGTCACAGAGCCCCAGCCCCAGTCCCAGTCCCTGTGTCTTCTCCCCACTTCCTCAGCTGGCCAGATTTGGGATAAGGAATCACTTTAACCAGAAGATTTCTAGGGTTAATGGGATGAAGACGCAAGACAGTGCCCTAAACTGTCTCTCCAGACGTCAGGAAGATGCCTTATTTCAGAACGACTGTCTGTCAGGGTCTAAGGGTCACGGGAAGTGAGTGCGGCCTGCCCAGCAGAGCTGACCTCCTTGTCTACCTTCACACTTAACACTCAGCCTAACGGCTCAGGTCCAGTCCTTCCCGCAGGCCCCCACCTGGCCAACTGCCATTTTAAGGTCATGAAGAAGAATTAAGAGAAATAGCCTCACTTCTCAACGACACTCTCTGTACCCAAGTCAGAAAGCCTGGGGACAATGAAATAGCAACTGGAAAGTATTGTGACCCAGGGGACCCCATAGAATCCCAGAGATTTGGACTTTGAGCAATTCAAAGGTACCCCAAGTCTGCTCTAATTCTTAAGCCAGTTGAAACTTGTTCTCTTCGACCCAGAACATCCAGGGCGAAGGGCGGTGCCTACGTGACCCTCGTGGTTCCTCAAGCACTTCAGTCAGTCACAGGCCCACCTTTCACTGCTCATCCGTTTCTGCTTCTGTATGGAGTGGAGGACTGGACAAAGGAGAGTATCTAAGGACTTTTCTAGTTCTTTTCCTACCCTGATTGGGTTCTTTCTCTGGTGAGGAGGTGTCTAGGAGTCAAGAAACCACTTATCTCTGCTTTTCCGAGAGAGGAAAATGGAAACAGGCACAGGGCACTGGGGACCCCACTGCAGGGAAAACAGGAACCTCCAGGATCACGGTGCTTCCCGCTGACCTTCTTATACACTGACGCGACTCATCCAAATGAACGGAACTCCCGAATCTCAAATATATTCATGCCTTTAAGTTCTGTCAGCAGAGTGCTAACCAACCCTACCCCTTGCCCATGAAGCGAGAGAGTCCTCAGTGGCTTTGGGGAGCAGATGGTCTGCATGAGCTTGTTAGCTCAAAATCACAACCGAGAAGGATAGAAAAAAGGCTCCGTCACAAAACACAGTGCTGTCAGGTGCTATGGGGGTTGGAAGGCAGGAAGCACGATGATGCCAGGCCAAGGACATGGGCACCCACCAAACGCTGCTTTGCTTCTCTTCACCGGGCTTGTGGTGGGGGGTGGAGACTGCTTAATCTATCATTGAATTGCCTGAGTTAACACTCACCTTAAACTTTCTGATTCTGAGGCATATTTGGCCAGAATCCAGGTTCTATCTCCTGTTAGCAGGCAACCTAACATTCTACTAAGTTTAAACTGAAACTGAGAAGAGGGCAGTCAAAAAAAAATTCTCCAAAAGAAACTCATCTTTGCTATGGAGCTGTGATGTAAAGAAAAAGCTGCTTTGGAAAGATACAAAGGGTAGAGCAGCTGAATGTAGGAACCATGGGGATCCTGCACCCTTTTATCACTGTTCCCAAGGTGGGGCTGAGGGAGAGACAACTGAGTGGACTTGCAGGTCTCTGGTTCTAGTGCTGGCTTTAGAAAGAGGCTCCAGGACCATGACTCCCACATCCTGGAACCAGGGCTCCAAGGGCAGTGCTCAGGGTGCAGTAGCCACGGGGGTGGACCCTAAAGTCAAGTAGGAGCAAGAAAGAAACAGGGTTTCTCATTAAAGCCGAGCAGGGGATACAGATGGGAAGATACCAAAGAAAGACATGTTTGTGGCTCAAGATTTAGATTTCCTGTAAAATTTCTCCTGGAGGTTATTTGCCTTCAAGTTTGTTTCAGATTATTTGAATCTTGGTTTCTTAATAAAGAGATAGTAAAGTAAGGAGAAATCCCAGTTCATGCTTGTAAAGTTAGGTTGAGCATTAGCCAAAAGTTGCAGGGGAAGCAGAAGCTGGACCCCTGGCCCTAATCATGCAGGCCACCCAGAAGCTGTGGGCAGCGACCAAGCAGGGAAACTACAGGAACAAGGGTCAGACGGCTTCCTACCCAAGACACCACTGCACATGTGATGGGAAATGCATATGTTAAAGTTCTCTCGGTTTGGGAAAATGCACCTATCTGTCCTAATAATCACTGTGCATCTGTACAGGGTCATGCAGGGGTGTGACCCAACGGTGTCCCAAAAAGCCTGCCATCCCCTTAGCAGAAACAGCTTGCTTCTGACCTCACCCCACACTGCCTAAAATTGTACCCTAAAAGGGATTTCTTTGGGTCAAGAAATCTACTCACTCTCCCTCCTTTTAAAAAACAAATTCTCCAGGTAAGAATCATTTGGCCATTCATACCTTGCTGTGAGCTAAATCAGCTCAGTAAAGTTATGGGAAGTTTCACTGGAACAGAAGAAAAGAACAATTTGGGGCCATAGGTGCTGTCACAGGAGGAGACCCAGGAAAGGCTCTGTCAGAGGCGGCTCTGGAGGCAAAAAGTCCCCTGGAGGGGGATGAGAAAGGGGAATGAAGCACGCAGAAAAGGGCCTCCTGGATCCGCTTTTGCACACAGACTCAGGGAAAATGCAGAACCCCAAGGGGTCTCCGTCACTCTGTCCAGGCCTCAAGCTTTGTAACTTGGCACTGATGTCCAGACTTTGTCCAAATAGTGAAGAAATCATTCCAATATCAGGGTTTGGGGCTTTCTTTCCTCAAACAAAACACCCAGAAGGTTGACTTCTAACATCCTTGAGTCCCAAAGTGCTATGCCCTGCCCCCCCCTTCATCACTCCCCATCTCCTCACCTGACCAACCCAGCCCGGCCAGTCCAGGAGCCTCTTTCAGAGGAGGTGATGTGGACAGGCCTCCTTTTGGGTCATCTAGAACCAGATTATCTCGTTCTGCCCTCTCTCAGCCCAGAGGCTGTCAAAACATGCTGGGATCCCCAGGAAGAAAGGCATCAAAGAGAAAGAGCTCAGTTCAGAGAAACATCCAGAAGTGAGAGAGCCATGGGAGGGCCGAGAAGCTCCCTCTGAACAAAGGAGGAGAGAAGATGCTACAGAGGGACGTAGACTTGCCCACTTCTGCCTACTGCTCCTCTACAGGAGGCAGGCCCAGCCTGGGGAGAGCCAGCCCCTCCACCAGCAGCGGCCTGCCCTTCACTTCATCCTTCGCTGCCCCCCGCTCCGTGGTGTCTCTACCCCACCTCCTGTTACAAGGGCTCAAGATTAATTAATAGAAAGAACTACAGAGAGACAGTTGGCAGGGTGAGCAGGATTGTGGAAGAGACACTGGACACTTGCAGGCCTCCGGACCAGAGGGAGGGGACGCTCTGGAGAGCAGCTGCCCCATCGCCCAGGTCCTGCAGCCACCGCTTCCTCCCGATTGCAGTCTATGCTTCCTTTGACCAACTGTGTCTCCATCTAGTTCCCTCCTGGGGGAACAGCAGCTGTGTCCCCCAGACCCACCCCCATGAAAGCTTTTCACTTGTTACACCAAGCAGGAGCTTCTCAGAACCTCAGTCTTTCTCTGGTATCCCACCTCCCCTGTGATTCTTGGCCCCTGGCTGACACAAAGGAGGAGACAAAGGATGCAGGTGAGAGGCTTATTGGTCCCAGAAGAGCAGGTGCCTGATCCCCTCAGGGAAGACAAAAGGGAAGTGGGAGGGCCCGAGGCTCCACCTTGCTTAGCTGGGGAGGTGCTGCCATCCACGTGACCTTTTCTGAGATCCCAGTTAGATTTCCACGTAATAGGGGTGGGGGCGAGGGTGAGCCCCTCCCTCAGACCCCACCCCTCCAAGGAGCTCCATCTCTCGGAATTCAGTATACGCACAGATCCGGAAACTTCATCTCGTAGACGGGGATGGAGTGGTTCTGAGGCTGGCCGTAGGCTGCGGTGATGGTTCCTGATGGGCTTGGCGGGGGCCTGGGGCAGGAACACACGGAGGAGAAGGGGGTGAGGAGGAGATTCCAGGGTCCCACCCCATGCAGCCAAATAGAGCAACCGATTTGTGTTTCTCTTTGAACAGGGGACCAGAGCCCTTGTCACTCCACAGTTCAGGTTTCAAGTTGTTCTAGAATCCACAGCTTTGTGGCAGGCTCTACAGTGACATTGTTGCTTTAGACCGTAAAGTCTCAGCCTGGGGCACCAGAACTCCT